CATGGGGAAATACCCAATGATATAGGCTTAACACTTCCGAATCTTCAGGCCATTTCTTTGGGACCTAACTACTTTACAGGGCAGCTTCCAGTTTCTTTATCAAATGCTTCACAACTGAAACTCGTTGGATTTGGATTCAACAATTTAATTGGCCCTGTGCCTTGGAATCTTGGAAGGTTGAGTGCCCTGGAAAAGGTTAGCCTTGTTGGAAATCAATTAGAAAATGCAGAGGGAGATGATTTTGGTTTCATAACTTCTTTGACTAATTGCAGCAAACTCTCCTTGCTGGCTACAGGTGACAATCGTTTCAAAGGTCAGTTTCTAATTTGTCAAGCAAGCTTGAATTACTGTCTATGTGGAGAAATCAGATTTCAGGTAGAGCACCTGATGGGATTGGCAATTTGATTTTTTTTGACTTTGGCTGAGAACTTTCTCACCGGTGAAATTCCAACTAGTATTGGCAAACTGGATAGGTTGAATAGAGTTGAGTTATATTAGAACCAACTTTCAGGTACAATTCCCTCCTCTCTTAGAAACCTTTCCCAGGTTCTTTATTTGTGTTTGGAGGAAAATAATCTAACAGGTGAAGTACCTCTTAGCTTGGGAAATTGTAGAAATCTTGAAAAAATCTTCTTATCTTACAACAACATTTCTGGTATCATACCAAAAGTACTTATAAGTTCTAAGATCTTAAACATAGAATTAGCAGGAAATTTGTTATCTAGGTCATTGCTTGAGCTAGGAGAGATGAGCAATCTAATTGATTTGGACATTTCCCATAATAGATTGTTTGGAGAAATTCCAAGTACTTTGGGAAATTGTCTTATGCTGGAGAACCTTTACATGCAAGGTAACTTGTTTGTGGGTAGTGTCCCATTGTCCTTGGGTTCTTTGAAAAGTCTTCGTTATCTTGACCTTTCAAGAAATAATTTGTCTGGACAAATGCCAAAATACCTCTAAAATCTCACTTTGTTGGAGAATTTAAATTTATCTTTCAACAGATTTGAAGGTGAGGTTCCTTATGAAGGGGTCTTCAGAAATGCAACTGAAGTTTCAATCGTCGGAAACCAAAACCTTTGTGGAGGCATTGAGAAACTCGAACTCCCTCCATGTAAGATCCAAGGTCTAAAGAAGAATGAAAGGTCTCAGAATCTTAAAATTGTGATTCCAATTGTTTCTTGCTCAATCTTATTAGATTCATTTCTGATTTTTCTTACTTGGGCAAGGAGATCTAATATTCAACCCTCTGCCATGTTGCAAACACAAGAAGTATTTCCAATGATTTCTTATGCAGAGTTAAGTCAAGCAACTAATAACTTCTCATCAGCAAACTTGATCGGTGTCAGAAGTTTTGGCTCTGTTTATAAAGGAATCATCGGTGAAAATGGAATGCTAGTTGCAGTGAAAGTGCTGAACCTTAAACAGAAAGGAGCATCCAAGAGTTTTGTTGCTGAGTGTGAAGCTTTGAGAAACATTCGTAATCGGAATTTGATCAAAGTTTTTACAGTCCGTTCCAGCATAGACTAAATGGGTTGATTTCAAGGCTTTAGTTTATGAGTTCATGCCAAATGGAAGCTTAGAAGAATGGCTGCATTCGCAAAGAGTTCCAGTTGGAGTTCGACATTTGAGCTTTATCCAGAGACTAAACATAGCAATTGAAGTTGCATCTGCATTTGAGTATTTTCACTACCACTGCCAACCGACAATTGTTCATGGTGATCTCAAGCCAAGCAATATTCTACTTGATCATGAAATGGTTGCTCATGTGAGTGATTTTGGACTAGCAAGATTCCTTATTAAGACACAAAAAAAAAAAAAAAAAAACACCAGCTCATTTTGTGTAAAAGGGACGATTGGCTATATTGCACCAGGTAATACTTTTCAAGTATCGTATTAAATCTGTCTTTTATATCTTAGGTTTACTCTTGAACTTATTGAAAATTATAATTTATTAGCATATCAGTTTTAATTAACATGATGAATTGATGTCATGTTTGCTTCTTCTTCTTCTTTTTTTCCTCTCCTTTTTCCTGTTAATTATTGATTACAGAATATGGTATGGGCGGAAAGCCATCTACGGCAGGAGATGTGTCCAGCTTTGGAATTCTCTTGTTGGAGATGAATACAGGGAGGCGACCAACTGATGCAATATTTAAAGAAGGGTTGAACCTTCACCAATTTACCAAACTAGCACTGCCAGACCGTGTGATGGATATTGTTGAACCTTCATTGCTGCAGGAAGAAAATGTTGGGGATGGTCGAAGAAGCAGTAGAGAAAGGAGAGTCAATATCAAGGAGATCCTGATTACCTTTGCAAGAATTGGAGTTCTCTGCTCAATGGAGTCTCCGAATGATCGAATGGAGATGGATGATGTGATTGCAGAATTATGTGTAATTAGGGATAAGTTTCTTGGTAATTATAGATTCAGATAAATGATCAGCAATAACACTTATTGTATATATACCCCACTGTTAATAGCAATACACACAGCCAATATTATTTCTTCAATCAGATTATTGGCAATTTCACCGGCCATGCATGATGTACTGTAACTTATTCAGATGATAGTGAATGCAAAGCAGAAGTGCAGAACATTTCTATCTTTGACTTGTTTTCGTTGAAGTATGTTGTTCCCGTATGAGTGTGAAGAACTAGAATCTCACATCGAAAAAATATAGGCGTGGTGAGTGGTTAAGTATAAGACCCATGAAGCTATTGGAGTAGTCTCTTGGTTTATAGATGGTGTCTTAGTATGTGAAGGGCCAGTGAATGTCTGTCCAACAAGTGGTAGGCCGAGTTTAGTAAAATGAGAGTGTACTTAATGTTAAGCCATGATGAGTATAACCATTGATGATATTGTGATATTGTGCCCATGACAAGTATACCCATGGATCATGTATGTATAATGTATGTGAAAAAAAAGAACTCTCATGGGAGCTGCTCACAACTCTCATGTATGTTTGTTTGTGCATTACTAGAATGTTTTATTTTTATTGTTTTTGGATTTGATTTTCTCTTCATTATTGATTTTTTACATTCTGTAATCAGGAAAGTCTTGCTAAGGAAATAACAATGCAAAACTTAAAAGCAGCTATTAAACACGTAAGGCCATCAGAGATTCAGTTGTATCAGGAGCTATCAGCCAAGTTTCAGAGGCTT